TGCTTCTCCCTCTGACCCTCCCCCCTCTCATGTGCTCTCTCTCTCATTCTCTCTGTCTCAAATAAATAAATAAAATCTTTAAAAAAAAAAAAAAACAGTCCCTGAAGCATGAATGGGATCATGGTGGTGGTGGGGGGGCAAATGGGAGGAAGAATGTTCCAAGCAAAGTGAACACCAGGAACAAAAAGTACAGAGGCACAAAAATGGAAATCAGGGTATATATCCCAAAAGAATTGAAAACAGGGATTCAAACAGATACTCACATACCCATGTTTATAGCAGCATTATTCACAATAGCCAAAAGGTGCAAGCCACCCAAGTGATCAATGACAGATGAATGGATAAGCAAAATGTGATGTGTCCATACAATGGAATCTTACTCAGCCTTACAAAGGGAGGAAATTCTGGCATATGCTACAACATGGATGCATCTTGTGGATATTATGCTAAATGAAATAAACCAGTCATGAAAGGACAAATATTGCATGATTCCACTCATAACAGTACCTAGATTAGTCAAATTTGGAGACAGAAAGTAGCATGGTAGTTGCCTGGGGCTGGATTGGTAGGGAATAGAGAGTTATTATTTAATGGGTACAGAGTTTCAGTTTTGCAAGATGAAAAGAGTTCTGGAGATGGATAATGGTGACAGTCCCACAACATAGTGAATGTACTGAATGCCTCTCACCCCTGCACTTAAAAATAGTCAAAAATGGTAAAATTTATGTTATGTGTATTTTTTACCACAATAAAAAAAAATTGGGGGAGCTCCTGGGTGGCTCAGTCAATTAAACGTCTGCCTTCGCCTCAGGTCATGATCTCAGGGTCCTGGGATGGAGCCCAGAGTTGAGCTCCCTGCTCAGCAGGGAGTCTGCTTGTTTCTCTCCCTCTGCACCTCCCCCCACTCATGTTTTTTCTCTCTCTCTCTCTTAAATAAATAAATAAAATCTTTAATTTTTTTTTCTTTAAGTGCAAACCAAACCACTAAGCCCTCAGTTAAAACATTAGCTTCTAACTATTTAGACATCTATGTTTTCAAAAATACTGGCCAGTTATATTTTATAGAAATTTGTATTGTGCAAATTTGAAATACACAATTGAGACAGTAACAAATATGACCTTACACACACAAAAAAAACAGAAATATGAATCTCCCTCTAAAATTTTGTACTTAGCCAAGAACCACATAACTTTAAGCTATGGGAATTAAAAACTGTGTTTAAGATCAGATACATGGCAGCTTTAACTGATAAAAATCCCATCTTCTTTGTCAGTGACTTCTCAACTATACAGCACATGATTTTAGTGAATATTGATTATTATTTTTAAATACACTGTCATAAACTTAAATTTTTCCCTATGCTATATTCTTGAAATGCAAGCTCTTATTTGGTGGTACCATCTCTAATATTGAAAAAAAAAAAACACACACACACACACAATTAAAAATAAATAACTCTGGAACAGAAGACATGACACCATCTTAAAGAGCCAGTCAATCATTTATCAATGATTTATCTATCTCTATAGATTAAAAGGCGTATTTGGAAATGTTTAAACGCCCCACCTTCTTCAATTTGGGTGTCCTGAGAACACAGTCCCATGACTCTATATGTGGACAAAGCATTCTCCACATGAAATGCAAACGTCTTGTCTTATGGAAGTCCAGTTTCCCTTTAGAAATGCTGTAACTCAGTTGGTTAAGCATCTGCCTTCGGCTCAGGTAATGATCCCAGGGTCCTGGGATCTAGTCCTGCATTGGGTGGGCGCTCTGCTCAGCGGGAAGTCTGCTTCTCCCTCTAACACCCCCCCACCCCTGCTCATGCACTCCCTCTCTCTCTCTCTCAAATAAATAAAATCTTAAAAAGAAAAAAGAAAGAAATGCTATAACTGGACTCAGCAAATAGCTAGACTGCCAGTATGGAGTCCTCCTCCTCCACCCCGTGACTTCAGTGATCCCATTGCCATGTTCAGTGTCTGCAGAGCCTGCTCCCAGGCATGGAGCCCCGTTTGTTCAAAGACGTCCAAGCACTTGTGAAGCCGACCCGAAGGTACTAGGGTGTGCACCTGCCTGGCTCCCCAGCACCCGAGTCTGGGAACACTTCCACTGGACTGGGATGCGTGGGTGGCTGCAGGCTGTCTCCCAGAGGTAAGAAACTGCCTCAACTCCTACACAGCTCTCACCTCCTGAAGCCAGTCCTGAAAAATCACCATAGTATTGGACTTTGGATCACTGGCGACTCCAGAAAGTATCTGAATAATTCAATAATTGGCCCAATGGTGAATGTAATAACTTGGCCCTAGAAACATGTATAGTCCTAATCAAATCTATGAGTATGAGAAGATATATGAATAGAGGGAGAATCTTGTAAGACACACATGTCTGACAAATAACGAGAAGGAAATTGAAGGCTGGGAAAATATTACCAAACATACTGGATGGAGCCCCATATAACATTAAGCCTCTTCTCGAATACACCCTTTTCTCTTCCAACCTTTCCAGCAGGGACACACAGTCTGACTTTATGTGTGGGCCCGGGTCGGTCTGTGAAAAGGCAGCAGTGAGGAACAGAGGGAAGTGTCCTGGCTCTCTTTCAAAACCTGGAAAGAAATCAACCAGTGAGGCTGTCATGCTTATCATCATGTCATGGGCCAGCTCCATGGCCCATCATGGCGGCGTGACCTGACTCCCTTCACCCGAAAGTACGAGAAGTTGGAGTCTGAAGAAGTGACTTCCCATTTCAGCCAGAGTTTTCTAGGGTAACAGAGGCATAGTCCCCTGCAGAGGAAATTTTGAAGAGGTGGAAACCCCCCCACACACTCCAAATCCCCATGAAGAGACTTCCCCAGGCCAGTCCTCAAAAGCTTATTACCACCCCCTTCAACACACACACAAGTAAGCTTCCCAGCAAGGACAGGATGGCAAGAATTAAATGGGATAAAATTAGAATCTTAGAAGCAGCCCTTCCATAGCTAAGATGCCTCTGGAAATCAATCCTAAGAGTCTACTCGGATTTCTGCTTCCTGCAGAGGTTTTGGTGGGGGCCGAGCAGCGGAGTGTCTGGGTCCCCACTTATCTCCAGACTATAATCGACATAAGCAGGAAAAAAAAAAGAAGTGCATTGTGTTCCTAACTCAATTCTTCTCCGATTTTATTTTTAATGCCAGGACTCCCTCTCTATTTCTCAATTTCACAAAATGGTACTTATTAATGAGCTCTCAAATTACATAAAGAGAGATCTAAAGCCCAGAAACACTAATATGGCCCTTGGCATTGTGGCTTTGAGCGCAGAATGGCATCTGTGTGCAAGTGGGGAGGACCTGCCCGCTGCAGCTATGGAAACCAGAGCCAGAGGAAGATGCCCGGAATAAGCACTAGGGAGCTGCAAAGAGGAGAAATCCCAGCAAAGGAAGATCCTTAGCATCCTACGCATCTTGCTGGTACCTTAAATGAGCGACTCTCATATCCCGATCATTTTTTGTTGTATTGCTGGGTGGTAAAATTATAAAATTATAGTCTCTCACATGAGCAAACATTTTATATATATGTTACATATAAAATATGTATATGTATGTATATGTGTATATATATGTATATGCACGTATATATGTACATGTATGTATGTATATCTGTATATAATACCAGCTTAACAAACAAAAACAAGTTTTTTGCAAGATATATAAGGGCTGGGCCTTCAATCCATTATGATGATCCTCTGTGTGTTCCTCCTCCTTTCCAGATGGTACCAATTAAGAGTAAGACCCTCGTCCTAACAGATGTTAACCAAATAAGCCCAATCTGAGGCTTTAATGAACAAAACCAGACACATTTACTATACCCAAGAGAAGCAAAAATAAATATAATGTATACAGTGGGCCACTTGGGTTAACTTGCGGTGACTGGGGCTTTGACCCGAGCCTGTGATTAGTTTCAACTTTCCCCGGCATTTGTAATTAGCATACCGAAGGCTGAGATAGCGTTTAGCACAATCCCAACCTTGGATTCCTTCCACTCACTTTCTTTTTCCTTAATGTCGTTTGAAGAGGCAATTTCCACCTGTAAAATACTTTCCATCGCTTCTCTTGAAACGGGAAGCACAGCTTTTTAAGACTCTAAATCAATAACGATTAGCAACGAAGTGCGCAGCTTGCTCAGTGTCAAGAAACTGTGTCGTTTTCCAGCTCCGTCTGCAGGCTCTGAATGAGCGTGGCTTACGTCACCTCGGTAACCTGTGCCTCCAAGGGTTCCTTCCAGTGAGGATGGCCATGGGGAACGGAGACAGCACCTCAGGAGTCCCCACCGGCTCCTAGGGCCCCCAACTGAGCCCTAATATTTTCCTGAACAACAGGTGGCAGTAAAGAGACACATTCTGCAGGAGCTAATTAGGTTTCTGTTGCGGAAGGGGGTGTGCAAATGCTGCTTAAAAGAAAGGATTGGGTAGTAAAAAAAAAAACACAACCTGATTCAAATTTCTGTGCACACGCTGTTCTGTTTCTACATATGTCGCACCTAGCCCAGATGCTCTCCCTCCACCACCTCCTTTTCTTATTTAAAGAACTCACCTTGTGATATAAATAGTTTCCTTGCAGCGGAGACCTCCGTTTTTTGCAATTCACAGACCTCCAAACACCGCCGCTGCCCTCCCCCACACACACCACACATCTAAGAGAGCTTGAGCTTGTCAAAAGCACAGATTCCAAAGCAGCAAAGCCAAGGGGTGCTTTGTGAGAAAGCTGCCATATTATGGGAACATTTGGTTTCTGAACTGCCTTAAAATGGTGACCTTTTTTCTATTGCCAAATAAACATTCTGCAAGCTGCACTGGTGTAGAACAAAAGTATCATCTGATAGTTGATCAAAGAGTTGTCTTTTAGATCCTTTCATCATTTTGACCAGAAAAGGCATTTGTTTGAATTCTGAGCAGAAACCCGTCCACTTCGCTTTGAATGCACATCTCACTTAAAAAAAAAAAAAAAAAATCTTTTAGGCGTGCACAGCACAAAGCTTTCCTCTGAAAAGGGAAAAAGAGAGAGAGAGAGAAAGAGATAGAGATAGAGAGACTTAATAAAACACCAAGTCCCAGGGAATTTACATGACTAATTTTATATTAAAAAAAATACTGAAGACGTCTGTTCCAGTGGGAACTGTCCCCAACTATTAGTAATTGCAAACATTAGTCATGAAGACATGGAAAATACAATCTGTAAGCTCATCTAGTACATTTTGCCCAAAAATACTATCTATGGAACTCAGTACCTCCCATTTTGTTGAAGTGTGCCACCCAGTGACACAGTCCAGTTTTTAAGGGCAATCTGCCAAATTTGATGTGTCAAGTTCTCTGGGCAGCTCTCTGGAAGCAGCAACCCCCATACCCAGCAGGACCGCACAGCTGACTTCCTCTTCCCTACATCCACTCTATTTCACCTGTGATCTCATAGACATGCTCTACTTCTGAAACTATGGATGCCAAAGTATCAGGGAAAAAAGGAAACCTTTGACATTTACGGTGATATCGGACATGTGCGTATTTAATAACTCAGTCTGCTAGTCTGCCCTCCTGTGTCTTGGCTTCCAGAAAGGAGAGGTGACTCTTTCTCATTGAATAGTGTGAGACCTACCAAGCTCACAGAGAATGAACATTTTGAAGTCTTCCCAATATTGATTGTGGTCTAGTGACTCACTTCTAAGAGTGACTACTTTGAAGGTCCAAGCCTAAGGAGGTGGGTACCAAGCCAGAAATCTAGGACTCAACTTTGATTCCTCCCTCTGCCTTCCCTCTGTAGTCTCTACCCAAATAATGACCAATGATTCTTGCTTCAGTCTTCTAAATATATCACCTAGCCACATAACTCATCCTCATCCTTCCAGACTTACTAAGGCCTCAGTACCTCCTGAAAATTTGTTCTTCTTTCCTCTCCTTCACCTAAATTAAATCCTGCCTCTGAGTAGTTCCGTAATCCATAGTATCAACCTCTATCATAACAAAGTCACAATTTATTAGAATTGCCTATTTACATGCTTGTATTCCCTAAAAGACTGTAGGCTCCTTCAAGAATATAACTGTATCATTTTTCTCTCTCTTCTCCATCTGTGCCTAACCCAGGTGTCTGGCAGATGGATGAAGGGATGGACGTGTGGGTGCAGGGACAGTTAGGAGCACTCCCAACAACAAGACCCTGGCTTCCCCCTTGTCCTATAGAGTTGCCAAGGACACCAGTCCAAATCACATCTGTCATGAGGATGTTCCTCTCAGCCGCATTGCTTGGCAGTCCTTGAGAACAAATTATTTTTAACAAAAATGTAATTTACATTCAAAGACAGTCCCTGAACACCAACCCTTGAAGAAAGCCTCAAGGAAACAGCTCTAAGTCACGAAAGACTTGTCTTCGAGGCTGGACCGCATTTAAATTCCAAACAGGCTGCTATACCATTCCCATCTCTTTAAGCCAAAAAATGTAGCTTGAATTCTTCTAAGTGAAACATGCCTGCCTACACAATTAGAAGCACTTGAAAAACTGAGATTAATGGCTCTCTTTTTGGATAGAAACCTCAAGGGCGGGGAGTGGTCAAAACTTTCACGAGCCACAACCCTCCATACCTTATCATACTATTGTGTGCTCTTAAAAATATCAGCAATCATTCCGGGTGATTGCCTTATACGGGCTCCAGATAGAATTTGCCAGATAAAACACAGGATACCCAGTTATATTTGTTTCAGATAAAGGATAATAATTTTAGGTAAATATGTCTCATGCAACGTTTGGGACATATTTATACTAAACAATTATTCATTGGTGATGCAGAAATCAAATTTCACTGGGTGACCCGTCTTTTAATTTACTAAATCTGGCAAGCCTAATTCAATGGTGCAAGGCCGGGTGTCTCATCTGAGATTCCTATGAGGGGAGATCTGTCACTGAGAGTTAAAAATAAAAGTCTCATCATTCGGCTTGGTCCTGCCATGTGGAAAATAACTGTTCTTTGGGCTCTGCCCACGCTGGCTGTCCCTGAGCGATGCTGCCCTCCCAGCACCAGGGCAAAGCCAGCTCGAGCTTATGCAATCGGGACATGTTTGCTGATGGAGTCCCTGGATTCTTTCAAAATCGTCTTCTGAGAATTACTAAAAATGAAAATCATGACACTGGTCCTATACCCAGCTATGCCAATGGAGAAACCTCAGGGAAACAAAGGCATTGTCCAGAAGCATCTTCTCTATAATCACCTCCGGTTTCTTGACAGCAGTTCCTGCAATCACATAGCAGTTTCTAGACATCCTGCAGGCTTATCTCCTTCTCTTTGGCTCCAGGTACGAATGTACAGGGTCTAGACCAGGGTAAGGCAAAAGAGGCACGTAGGGGGCAGAGTTTAAGGGGGCATGGAGCAGTGCCGGTGGAGGGTCAGCACCTGAGAGGGGGCCTCCTTAAATTTTTCACCCTGGGTACCTCATTTCCCTCTCCCCAGCGCTGGTCCTGCAATTATAGGTTATTTCCCCCTCAACCTGAGATTGGTTTGGGAGACAAGAGTTCAACATTTCTTTCTTTTCTTTTTTT